AACTACAGTTTGAACGATACGCTGGATGTCCTTTGGGGAACTCACCTTAAGTTGTTTGAACACAATATTAATTTTTCCAACAGAAATTAACTGTGATGCAGAACAAGAGGTGGGATAGAGAAATACAGACCGAAAGGATGAACTGTTCACCTTGGGCAGCGTCTCCGAGAATGAGATGCAGACGCCAGCTTCCTCCACCTGCTCCTTGAAGCTTTGATGCCATACTTGCCGTAATCATCATTGGCAGCCAGGGTGCCCACCCAGGTCCAGCCAAAGTGTAGCACCAGCTGAGCCATAGCTGTAGACTGGTGCTTGTCATTGGGAATGGTCCTCAGGAAGGTGGGGAACTGGAACTTGCTTTCCAGGGCGGAGCAAGTTGAACAATAGCTGACCTAAAGATGACAGAGGAGAGGAGGCACACAGGGTTTCTTCTCCATCTTTACTTTACGTAACTAACAACAGGCCTACCTGTGGGAAGTGATAAAGTCCAAGAATCCGCGCAGTGGCAATGGACAGATCGGAGCCCCCAGCACCCACTAGAGCAGCCAGCGGAGGCCCTGTCCCGCAGCGGTAGTTGGGTACGGCCTCGTCTTGGCCCGTCAGGTAGGTGAGGTGCCCTCCACAGCCTTGGAGATGGTGAAACAGGAGTCATAGATGACATAGCCCAGGTCGGTGTTGGGCAGCAGGTCGTTCCTATTGTTAATTTCGTTGATGGCAAACAGCATGGTCTGGGTCCAGCGGAAGGTACGGAAGTTAAACCTGGAGCATGATGGGAGAGTGGTGACATTAACAGCATGTTTTTTCTCTGCTGGTTGGAAAACAGGCACATTTTGTCTTTTACAGCCTCAACACACAGTACAAAGTGTGTGTTGCCTTGATGTTGTAGATATTATTTGAAAGAATGAAAGAAAAACTCGCATTCACATTCACAAGATATATACAGACTATTTTATCGTCTAAATTAGCCTCAAGAGGACAGTTCATGGACTTGTATACTCCACTGTAGACCAATCTCCACAATAATATAGGCCACTGTGGATAATTGGCCCAGAGGTGCTGCCCTGCTCTGTCTTGATTTAAAATCATGAGGTTGAGATCTCAGAAGTACACAGTGCGGTTGAAACATAAAATTAACTCACTCAAGTTAATGTATTTCTCATTTAAGGGCTAAAATATGAAATCATTTAACTTTAATAGGCTTGTGAGACGATCTGTGATTAGTGTCACACAGCTGGAAGAGACAGATTTAAAAAAAGACAGGCTGCTCGACTCACCCCTCACAACCCGAAGAGACGGGCACCCTTGAAGTATTGCCATCAGTGGAAGCGACACGGTTGTGAACAGGAAACATCCCGCCAACAACGACCTTCTTCTTCTCTACATTCTTGTAGCCGCTCAGGTTGAACTTGGCCTTCAGCTTGCATGTGGACTCTGCTGAAACAGATCTGTCAAAATAGAAGAAGGCACATAGCACAAGCAAAAAACGACCGATTTCCATGCTATGTAGACGCAGAAAGGAGACGGGAGAGCTCTCGCTGTGGCAGACGAGGAAAGGCAACAGCAAAGTGTGACAGGTGTCTAATATACCCTCAAGGGAGATGTGCAGCACGAGGCAACCTGAGAACAGATTCAACTGTGCAAAATGAAGAGGAGGGCATAGCCTACTGATCTTTATGCCATGTGAAAGACAAGAAGGACTTTGTTTATTTTTAGTAAATACCATAGCATAATTCTCTCATTAATGGTGTAAGTGTGGTTCAAAACCATGGTTACACTGGTTTTGTCTCCCTCCAAGAGCACAAAGTATGCACCAACAAACACTTCTATGTCAAATAAATTCGAAGAAACATCCCATCATTTCATTTGGTTTCCCTCTGTTCTCGCGCTCTCTTTTCTCCTGTAAATACATCAGTTTATTAGTCTGCACGCAGGTCAGCTGCAAGGGATAATTCTGCCACAGGCCAGGAGTTAATTGGCAGCTGCGTGTGGTGACTTGTATAGTATTTACGCAACATTGCGGCATGGCTACTGTTCCCAAATCGTGCCTTGTCCCCTGAGTGTGGGTCTGAGGTGTGTTGATGGGTGACTGAACTTGTCTGCTCTTGTCTCTCAGTCAGCGGGGAGAAACACACACCTGAACCTCCCGCCACACAAAGGGACCAGTGCTGGTTGGGCCGACTGCGCACTTATAGGCTCTTATTAAAATCAAATTACAGTCTAAACTTCTTTCAACAATTTGGTTGTTAGTTGTACGTCGCTATTATTACATTATACTAAAGGGAAGTTGTCACACAGAAGGCATCTTAAAAAGGAGTTGGATATTCTCATGTATTTCTTGAATAGTAGCTGATGACAAATTAAAGGCTTCAGTGTATGCGCGAGTGTGTGACTGTGCCCTTGTGATCTGTCTCAGCCACGAGAGATATCTGATACTGATGAGCTCTGCGAGAAATCTATTAGGCCGTACAGTAATTTACCAAAACACTACTGTACTCATTTCAACGAGGCACGTGGTTAAAAGGAAAAAAAGGGAATTCCCCTCAACACCCCAGCAAGTTGTTTGTCTGCGTACTTTAAATAAAACCACAACATTAATACTAAGGACTTTTCAGTGTAGTGACACAGACTACGCTTCCCGTGCTTAACAAAACTGCTGTGATACTTACTGTAAGTAATCATTTTTTAGTAGCCTACAGTCGGTATAAGAACATTTTCAAACCACATAAAGCTGCAATGGAAGTAAGTTAAAAAAAATTCAATAGCAAGAGCACTAAGAAATTGGGAAAAGGAATGAGAACGTATTAAACTATTTACCATTTCCATCAAGTTCTGTAAAAGCATATATAGTAGTTATGTCATTTAAAAATGGTTAATTAACCATTAACTAGAAAGTTGTTTTTTTTTTTTTTTTTTTTAAACTTACTTTAAAAGTGATCTTGATTTCATAATTGTCCACTGCGTTTTGCGGCCTTTTCATTTCAGTGTGGTTTCACTTTATTTGGTGTTTAATTTGTCTAGCAAGACAACGGGACAGTTTGCCTCTAGTGTAGGCTAATTTATGCGTTTTAGTTTGCTTATTTTAAGTCAAACGGTGCTGCAAAAATCCTCATCTTCAAAATTTGCCAGGTTAAAACAAACTAAATGCAAACAACTTGATAAGTACCTCATTATAGAAGTGAGAAGTTTTAACATGGAGATCTTTATTAAAGCTCAGTTTTCTATTGTACAAATGTCATCATAGTTGAAACTGCATGCAGTGGCTTGTTTTGAGGCACGTTACTAAGGAGAATGAGCGTTGTTGAATAACCTTTTAAAAAAAAAATCCAACAATAAATTGCATAACTTAATCTTATCGATATTGCAATTAAATCCAACTACAAATTATTATATATATATATCAAGTTTTCTATGGAGAGTGTAACAGAAAAGACCCTCGTGTAAAAGGCAGAACACAGGGAGAAACACTAATAGCAGTTAAGACAAGTTCATTTTGCATTAGAAGTATTTTGCCACTAAAGCTTAAAGATATAACAGAGGATGAGAGGCACAAAGACAAATTGTGGAGGCATGAAAACCACCACATCGGGGTGAAATGTCTATCGGGGTACAATACACTTTTAAAACTCAGTTAAACCTGAGCACTGTATTCACTGAGGTCTATATGAAAAACTGAAGACCAGAGATTATGATGCTCAATGTTTCGATAGTACAGAACAGGAAAAAAAAAGAAGCCTTTCTGAGACGTGTCAGAGTCATGTTAGAGATGGCAACAGACAGTACTCTCAACCTTTGACAGTACAGAGCGACACACTTGCGGTGAAGTTCCCGCTGGCTGTATGTTTCTGTTAAGCTGATAAATAATGCAGAGGCTTTACAGGTGGAAGTAAAAGACAAATGTGCAAAATATACCCCCTGCACAACAAAGAGCAACCGAATAATGATGAAATGACAACAGCAAGTTACACAATGTGGTTATAAACTCTACGGTACTTATGTTGCTTTTAGTTAGTCCTCTTGCCATGTTTATTCTTCATAAAAAGCATACATAATGTAGCATGAGGAAAAACAGTGTTGTATCCTCCTGTCTGGAAACATCAGAGTCCAGGTTGGGCCACACCAAAAAATAAACAATAGAAGGCACATACAAAGTTACCCAGCATATATTGGCCTCCTGCACAGCTGCACCTAGCTTTCATCCAGAAGCTAATCTTGGGTGGATTGCCATCCAAGATGGGTACTGCAACAAGTCAAGAGCTCTCAACAAATGTAGCTTGGACAAGATCGTCAGAGGAGCCCACAATGTTATATTTACCACAGCATATTCTACTTTTGGCAAAACAAAAAGCTTAAAAATGATTGATTGGTCACATAGGTTCTCTGTTCAGTTTTACTTTTGACAGACGACCTTCTTCATAGCACAGTATACAGGCAGAAGTTGAAAATGAACAAATAGAGGATAGTCTTAGGTTGAGAACATTCTGACCTACAACAGTAAGACAAAAACATCTGACAAAAAAAGGCAGAAAACACTTGAAGATTTTCAAACTCTTCTACTGCTGTCATTTCTTTGTGACACTAGTGTTTGCTTTTTTTCTCCAATGTTTAGCTCAACTCATAACGCAACCTGAGGCACAACAGCAAAGTCCACTTTCTGAACTTTCACAGCTTCTCGCCACTTGTCTTTAATGGTTGACCTCACAAAGGGAAGCAGCAATTTACCTTTTCTTCATAGAGAGGAAATACACTGTTGTACATGGATAAAAAAGGACAATATATTATCAATAAACAACATTAATCAATCCCTATTGCCAAAAAAATATTAAGACCAGGGGAGTGGTGGGGAGAGCAGAGTAGTAGCGCCTTTGCATGTGCGCCCATCACAGTACGGTCTGCCTTCCATGGGAATGTTTAAGAGAGGGGTGGAGGTAAAGTAGGGAGGAGGGGAGGAGGGTGTGTGTGTGTGTGTGGGTGGGGGGTGGTGGTGGTGGTGGTGGTGGTGAGCGTGTTTGTGTGTATTGTGTGTGAGTGCATGTCTTGTCGGTATGACTTCATGTTGCGCCTTATTCCCACTCTGTGGTGCCAGGCGGTTTGGAGGTCAGATCATACATGACTCTGGAGATGCCCGGGATCTTCTTGATCTCATTTACCATCTTTAGCACCACCTGGGAAAACATACAAGAAAAGACTCATTTAAATAAGTGTTAAGGTAAAGGTAAGGTAGTCTTAATAAGATAAATAATACCCAATCCCTGAATCTAGGGGTAGTATCCATGATGGGAACAATATAACAAGTCTAGCAAAAACACTGAGAAAAGTTGAGTGGTTGAATCATGGTATACCTCCTCTGGGATATGGTTGCCCGGCATGGCAGGGATGCCGGTCATGAAATCGCTGGTGATGAAGGTGCGGACCACCACAGAGCGCCGGCAGGATGGCTGCTTTTGCAGTGGGTCACGGTCAAAGTGCAGGGGGGTCAGGATGACAGGCATCTGGCTGATCTTACTGGAATAGCCTGAAAGAGGAGCACAGCCAAAGAGAAAGAAAATCTTTTATTGCTGCTATTACAAACATTTCAATTAGCTTCATTGACTAAGACTAACAATTAACAATTCTATTTCTAAAGTTCTAAGTAAGTATTATTAATATAAGAGGAATACTTTTATCCTTCAGGGGAAATTATTAGTTATAAAGGAGGGGAATAAATTGAACTCTTACTGTCGTCAAACTCTCATCCATACATATTTTGTTTCAGTGAAAATGAGTCCTGAAAGTCTATAAGCTCCTGATGTATGTTAGTGTTTGACACCTGGCAACATTTTCTCAACATAAACAGGAGAAGACAACATGATGTAACGTTAAATGTTCAGTGACTGAAGGTTCTTGAGAGGACTACGTTCTGTCTTCCATAAATGCACTGAAAGCTCGACTCTCACCGCTACGGCATCGATTGTAAGTGACACGTTTATATTTAATTCCATACCAACTTCTTACGTTATTAAATATAATGTATTAGGCCTACCTTTACTTGGGCAAAGTTTAATGTAGTTATTTGCTCCTTTAGCAGGAACCTTTTAACGGCAAGTTTTTTTAACAGGTAAGACTTCAGCCGTTTCTTTGGTGGAACTAAAGCTTCACAGTTTGGTCCCTCTGCCATAGTTTAACCAGTGTACAGTAGCATCTGATAAGCACAACACTTAAGCTGGTGCACCGCTCCTGTAACTTTGTTTTCGTTTTGTGCAAGTTATAACAGTTTCGTTCTGTGCAACAGAAACACTCGGTGTAGCGAAGCCTTTACGATTAATTAAATGTGAGGTTTCAAACCGCGGTTAATAATGAAATCCGGTAATCGCTGCATCCCTAGTCCCGTCTGTTTGCTGGATTATGTCAATCACTAAAAAAGTTGGAAAAGTTCTTCCCTTCTCTGTATTTAGAAATATTTGTCAAGTTTGTCCCAGAGCACCTGTCTGCTGGTCTATGAAATACCACCTTCACTGTGTACACCAACAGAAGAGTTTAAGCAAACACTAGATTCTTTAACAATTTATTGTAGTTTGAACATGAAAAAGTCGACACTTCAAATTCTTTGTTTCAATAAATAAATTTTGTTCTTCTAATGATGCCCGGATTGATTCAATTATAGATGTCAACAATGAAAAAAAAATAGTTTGCTCACATGGCTGACCTTGAAAATGTCTTAATGAAGCCAAATGGCCTACGTTTAACTATAGGGACAAAATGATCTTTAAACTCACCCTTTTAATCCCATCTTAAATCAGCACAATGACATGCAAAGTGAAACCACAGCAACAGTCAGGAAAGTACAGACATTTAGCAAAATTTCTCAAACATATATTTAGTTTGACCCTGGGGGAGCGTTAAATTCCCCGTGTGGATGCAAGTATGCAGACGAGTACACTATTCTTGTTAGGTATGTGGACTTTGTGAAAGGACTGAACGGCTCTACAGAAACTGTACTGTACTGATAGTCCTGTGGTTGCATCCTCACCAAATATAAATCCTCCCCAAATAATTGTAATGCGTCAATACATAGGGCTAAACTAAAATGACTTACCAGACTCTCTGAGGATAGAGTGAGCTACGAAGTCAGCCTGTCTGAGCGTGCTCAGAACGCCTGTGGTCAGGAAGGTTGGAGTAATGTCTGTTGGCGGCTCTTTCACGTGGGAGCCAAAAACATACACAACTCTGGAAAAAGGAGACACATGAATGAGTGGGTGAGATGTTCTCCTACTCACTGGCATCACTGAGGATAGACGAGAGCAAAGCTGTAAGCAAAGACTTGTGTATCACCTGTTGATGGTGTGGCACATGCGAGGGATGAGTCTGGCCAGGAACATGAGCGACTCCCAGTGCGGAGATTCTTTACTAGTGACACCGCACACGTAACTGTAGGACCGGCAATCACCCTGAGAGACAGACAGAAAATAAATTGTTATGTAATTTTGATGGTGTTAAGAAATAGGCTTATTATAAAACAGTCTTTACAGAGCAACAAATAAAAGAAACAAAAATCTCCAACAGATGTTACATTAGCCTGTGTTATCTTAAACCATACATTTAGATTTTTTTGTTTGATAAAAAGGTTTCTATAAATACAGTCTGCTAAATCTGTTGGTCTTCACTTCCAACAAAATCCCAAGGCAAGAAAAGCTGCGTGTGTTTGTCTAACCTCTCCTGTCTGCCCCGCAATTTGAGGTTATGGATAAATTTAAAACTCTGGCTTCAACAGGAAGTAATGGGTCACTCACAAACAGTCACCGGTTGACTGCAATGTTTGTAAGTAGTCATGACGACACTCAGTATAAACTACTGGAAAGTTGTTCTTTTTTAACCACATTTAAATATTTCTACAGAACCCACCCTTTGGAAATGTCAGAGACTAACAGTCAACATCAGAGAAGAAAAACTGAATTGTGGCCCAGTTACAACAGATCACCCCCTTGGCTCAACAGACAGAGTCAAAAATAAAAATAAACGAGAAGCGTCATGTGGGCGTGAGCGTCTCGTGGTTAACCACTAAATTGTTGTGGTTACACAACGAGACAAACAGCAAAAGCGAGACTTACTGTTTCAAGCTTCGCCTGCTTCTGGACATCCATGTGTAAACAAACAAATATGCTATGTTTGGACTAAACTAAAAAATGACCTCAAGTCTGCTTTAAAACAATTTTGACTGCACATGACTGGAAGCCTTATTCACATCAAGCGAAAATAGAGGATGAAATATAGCAGGGCTGGAAAATTAACTCACCGGCATCTGCCAAGGTGGCTGGTAGATGAAAATAATCCACCGGCCAAGCGTATTTTTTACTGGCCAAAATAATAAATTGCCTTTTTTGTTACATTTGTTTCCTTCCTTTGAATTGAGATAATGAAGTACTTTGTCAAACACAAACTTAGAGAAGAGGCCAGAGTGAAATTTGAAGCAATATTATTGCTAAAAAAAATGTACTTAAAACACAACAGTAAATTGTTTTATAAACTTACAAGATGCTTATTAATCATTCAACTTAAACCTCCTCCTCAGACTTTCTACAATCACCCTCTTCTGGCCTCCTGGTTCTGACAGAGTCCTGGTGCCACAGCATCACAGCTTTTGGTGGATCAACATTTATTATGCAGCCTATGGATCATTCTCCTTGATCTCCAGGGAGGGCAGCAGGACCATTAGAAGATCTGACAGTGTGTCAGACACTAGACTGGACCGCCAACTAGCCAGCTAAAAGCACTCCTCGTAGGCTACACCTTGGAAATTAGCTCCTAACACTAGCAGCTTTCACGTTGCCTTATTTCACGGGGGTTTTGCGCCAATCTGCCTGGATCGCTGCACTTTATGAAAGCTAAGTAGCAGATTTTATCCGTATCTGAGCAGGGAAAGTTGGTGAAAGACATGAAACAGAGAGTAGGAATGATCTGCTGGTTCCAGTAAAGCCAGACCGCTATATGAAAGCACACGCGGATATTCTTTCCGTGCTGATCTCCGTATGAAAGCGGCTACACTCTCGCTCTTTCCCTACTGACTCCTGTCGCCTGTCCCCTAACGCCCACCCCCTTACAACTCTACACCAATAAAACACAAGTAGCATGAAAAGAACATAAACAACAACCAATGAACACCCCTAATACGTGTGTTACGCGATTTTAGATCCCTTGGTACATCAGGGACCAATTTAAGTGCGACACACAACCAACAAGAACGTCGGTCTGCTGCTAATTACCATCAAATAAAAATTATATGGCAATATCATGCAGAATATATTTACCCACCAATGTGGCAGGTGGCCTTCCAACATTTGGCCACCAAACGGAAAACCCACCCGCATCTGACATACATTGTGACTCGATGTTTGATGAATTGACCAGCTGGGTTACCTGGACGCCGACAGTTTTGATGGGCAGCAGGAAGGCATTGAGTGAATGAAGGCTGGTGATCTGCATGAGCTTCTCTTCCTCCTCGTCTGATATGCATGACTTGACTCTCTGAAGCAAGGCGTGGGGCTGGAGAGTAGAGAGACAAACACTTAAAACAGTAGTGTCTAAAAAAATGGAACCCAAAGGACAGAATCAAAGTTTCACAAATACAGCTCTGTCCACATTGTGACTACTTTTTATTCATTTACCTGCTGTTTCACCACAAAATAAAATTAAGATAAATATGGAGCGTCAAAAAATCTCAGAGGACCTTCAAATATGCCCATCAACTTTGTCAATGGAGCCACAAAAGTAGTAGAAATCATATCAAATTATGATCATGTCATCAGAACTTCAATAATTGATCTAATGTACAGTTGCTCTGCATGATAGGGCAAACAACTCCCCCGTTCTACTGTCAGAAATTAGGCTGCAAACACAAAATCAAACCTAATGTTGATTTTCTGTTCATGGTCTGGTCTTTTTTCAGCCCGTCTGCAAGAAGTGAAAAACAAACTAGACGCAAAACATCTTAAAAATCATCAGAATCATTTAGCTTTTGGTGCTGTGTGGCCAACCAACCAGCAGAGGTTGCACATGATTAACTTCATAATGAACCAGTCAGGACAAACAGACACAAATCTTCTCATTGGATGTGTGTGCAGAACTTCCACTGGACTGCATGCTTGGCTACAAACAGCCACTGCTGATAAATTGGCAGCTTTATTGCTACATTTTGTGATCTTTCCCCGAGTTCATTTCTAAAAAGAAAGTTGCCAAAAACTACAGGGAAAATGCTGATAGGTCAATTCACAATGATAAATGAGTCCAAACACTGTTTATGCTCCGATGGCATTTTAATGACCAAATATTTCACACCAGTAGATGATATTTTGAGCTGGTATTAATTTTAGTCTCATGAAGGATACAGATTGGTCACGATTGAGTGGGGGGACACACATAAATTGGAGTTTTAGTTTAAATTGCATAATATAGTAATTAATGTCCTGTCATTAGTTGCAATGATATGAATTAGGATCCACTTACACGGACAAGTGGTATCTCCCCAACACAGGATGTCAGACAACTATTCATTAAGATTCTTTATGTGTATTGTTTTGTACCTTTGTGTGTAGGGATGGGGATTGAGACCCGGTTCCAAAATTTCTCAAAACCCGAAAATCAATAAGGTTCGAGCTTATCGATACTGCTATCGAGACTTGCGGGTCCTATGATGTAACGTTATGTCTCCAGCGTCAATTGTGATTTAATTAGAAACGCAGTGGATAAGGAAATCATCAGGCTGCAGTCTCTGCCTGCTCCCAAACGCACACACAGCAGAGCAAGAGGCGGCGCCGTTGCGGTGGAATATGGTGGGGTAAGTTAGCTCCAAACTACTGTAACGTTGATGACAGCTACGCTCGTTACTGTAAGTACGTGCAATAAAAACTTCGCAAGTAAAAAGACAATACTTGATCAATACTCCTGTCTGTAAGGGAACGTTAAACATGTAGAAATGGTTAATTTAATCATCTCTGTCCTCAGTATCTCATCCTGTATGTTTTATACAAGCACAGCTAACGCTAGCTTGGCATTAGCCAAATGTTAAAAACAAGCTAAATAGAAAGCTGTCTGGAGCATAGACTGCTCTGTAGTCTTAAAAACTCAGCTGCTGGCTGAGACAAACCAGCCGCTTCTCCTTCTACCTGGTAAGGTTACCTGCAGCCAGCGAGAGAGAAGGAGGGACTGATACAGACTGATGTTATTCTTTCTAAACATCACTCACTACTTGTGATGTCAGATAAAGTTACTGAGTAACTTTGCTGTTGTCTAAAAACAACATTTAGCTGTATTTAAAATATTAAATTAAAAAACAACCAGGCAGTTAATATGTACACTTTAATATGTTTATTTATCGCAAGTGATATGTCATCTCAATATATAACGTTATTGCATATTGAATATTTTCCTCATACCGTGCAGGCCTAACGTTACCTCATGCCTGCATGTTGGGTCTGGTCTTACCAAATAACCATCAATAAATAATAGTAAAGTATCAATAGTGGTATCAATAAAGAATCGGATCGTTAAGCAGTCTCAATAAGGGTATCAATATCAATAAAAATGAACGATCCCCATCCCTATTTGTGTGTATTGTTTTGTACCTTTTTGACACTTGCAGAGAAGTCGGTGATGATTTTGAGGATGTTGTTCGTTTCAGCAAAGTCCTTACAGATGTAGGGCTCCTCTGCACAAATCACTCTGATGGACAAACCAGGACCTAAAGGCAAATGAGAGAGGAGGTGCACCTTTTATCAAATAGAGGAGTGATGCGAGGACAGATTTGAGTCTGTCTGATCGAATAAGCAAATGAGTACAAGAGGGAAACAGAGACAGATGCAAACATCACTAATCATAATGGTAATACAATCACTTGTATCACGTTTTTTTTCAGTCACATCATACGCATGTGTTTATGTACTTGCCTGGGAAAGGGTGTCGGGAGACGATCTCTTCTGGCAGGCCCAGCTCTCTCCCTAGTGCTCTGACCTCATCTTTATGGAAATCTTTCAGCGGTTCAATTACCTTTCCCTGGAGGATCACAAAGGAATGGGATCAGCATTGTTAACAGTGAGGGAATGAGGAATATGTTTAGGTATTGCATAGTTGTGCGTTGAGACGAAAGGGTGGAGCAAAACAACAAATATATGAGCACTAAACAGCTAATAAGGGGGAGAATGTTTAAGCGCTCCCTTAAGTATAGTGTAACACTGATCCACTGTTGAAGAAGGATGCCTCTTTGGGGGATGAAGGATAAAGTAGAAATACATTTTCAATAAAAAGTAAATTATGTTTAGGTGTTTGCCGGCTCTTGTTGAATGTGAGGAAACAGAAGCTCAGGGGTTCTGCATGATAGCTCTGCTTTTGTGATATTTCTAATCGCTGCTCTAAACTGCAGCAGATGATGCTCTTTTTACACACTTGTGTTTTTTTTTTTTTTTTTTGTTTTTTTTTAGGGGAAGCTGACATTATCACAGTCCTTCAGAGCATTACCAGATAGACAACATCACGGTCTGAGCATCTGTCTGTAAAACCACAGTGTCAAACGGTTTGTCAGGCACAGACTGCTACAAAAACAACTCACGTCCCCTGCTCAAATTTAAGGTTTTATAATATGGTAGTCTGATTGTCAACAGGGGTTGTTGAATACGTTTTCCAGCGCCAGAAGAGAATGTGTAGTAATGTGTATGTAATGAACATATTAGTGGATAACGAAGTGCCATGGTGATGAGTGATACCCCCAGCAACAGTAAAATATATAGTATTGTCCCGTATAGTTTAAATGACTTCAGTTCAGGTGATTTGTAAGGATATTAAGCAGAACCTGTATGCACCCGTTCAAACGTTTGCCAAATTAACTATTTGTTACTGGTTTGTAGAGTACCATGTTGTTACACCTAAAACTAAACATGAACAGGATAAAGGCCTATGTTTTTCTTCTTGTTTTATGGTAAAAACGTATGCACAACTATTGAAGGCACAGTTGCTCCATGTATCCACTTAACTGAATAAGGCCATACTCTGAAGCAGCAGTGTGTATCAGGGAAATGAATGCAGTTAGTATTTGTGCATGTGCGTGTGCAGTACCTCATCTCTGAGTTTGCGGATGAGTTCAGTGTCGTTGTGGTGCGTCTTGATGACCTCTGCCTTGCCGCTGGCAAGATGAGAGGCACTCTCGATGAGATCGGGCCGTAAGGTACCCTGAGCCAGGAAAACCTCTTCCGGCTTCAGATTCATTTCTCCTATCACTTCATTTGCCACCTGTGATGCAAGACAATTTAAAAAAAAAAAAAACAAAAACAGTGAACTAGTAAAATCAGAAACACCAACAACAGCGCAGACATATTGGCAGACGCACACAAAAGTATAGTAAAGAATTCAGCTGAACGGAGAAAATATAATGACACATGGCGATGTATTGCATTGTAACAAGGCAGGTTAACAAAAAAATGGGACAATAATATACACAATAATATTACACAGCACTTTTCATAAAAAAAACCTAGTGCTCACTTTGACAAATGTATCTCCAATGATTTTCCTTTTCTCTTCTGGGTTAGTAGTCATATTCAAAGTCTTGCTGATGCGTTTTCGTGGCGTCCTGTCCTCCTCAGAGATGGGGAGGGTTGTTGTTCCGTTATAGAAGGTGTGAGCTGCATTCACCACTAAATAGAGCAACAATTTTGGAACACAACTGGGTTATGAGAGAGAAAAAAAGTTTTCCTCCCAAGATCCCTTCAGAAGAGAAAATAAATAGAATCAATATACTTCAGTATGCTGTTATACGCAGTTTCATTACCGATTAGTCATTTAGCCTATTCAATGTAAAAAAAAATAATAATAATAATAATAATGACAATGATCCATCACATGGAAATATAAAGTGTAATAAGTAATTTTTTCAAATAATGCTCTCTCTTATTTCACTTAGTGACTTCTATTAGATAACATTTTTTGCAACAATTGTGTATCACAAGAAAACAAATCAATAAATTATTTTGGGCATAATTTTATTAGTATTTTTTGATGTGCTTGGTCTTATTGTAGCATCCTTTGTTGATCAACAGGACCTTGGTCCCTACCTTTCAGTTTGATGCCCAGTTTGGTGAGGGCTTCCTCCACACTCTGACTCTCTTTCTTCCTCATGAAGCCGTTGTCAATGTGAACCGCTATCACCTGGTCCTGGTTGAGAGCTTTGTTGAGGAGAGCTGTGCAAACTGTTGAATCCACCCCGCCACTCAGCAGCACCTGAAGAAATCATTAGAAACCGTCACAAACGTGCAACCAAATGGTCGAGCGGCGACATCAAACCTCTTTAGAGCTAAATTTGTCATCGCAGATTAAATCCAACAACACTTTCACTAGCTGCTCTCCTATTCTGTCTTAATCTCCAATTAATTGTATGTCTAATTTCTATTTATGTTAGCCTCCCATTGTTTTAGTCGTGCTGTCTTTGACAACTGATGTTTTGTCTGCTGGAAGGCTGTAAAATGTTAAGCATTATGAGTTTAATTAAAAAGGCAGATATGACTACAGCCTTGACACTTATTTCTTTATAATCACAAATTGTGAGAAATGTATTCCTTAGACTGTAGTTGAGGAACAAGAAACAGTGGCTGCATGTAATTCTTTGAATATAAATCCTGTGTTTGGAGCCTTCTTCCTACACTCACTTAATCGCCTTCATACTCCCCAGAGATGAAGCCCAGTTCGAAGTCGCTCAGGGAGTCGACTACCTCTTTTCAGAAAAAACAGGGCTTAATTTGAGAGTTTAATTGGTTCTACTTAACTTCCCACCACTGCTTCTGTCACTACTTCCTGAGCAGCTAACACACTTCACACCTCAGCTTTATACTTGTAGTCAAATTATCTCCCATAGAAGGTTAAAATGTGCAGAGAATTTTTTTTTTGTTTTATTCCTTTTTAAAGGTCACCTTTCTGCCCTACAAATTGTTTGGAGACTAAAACACACACACACACACGAAACTTGGTTTCACTTACCAGCACTTTAGACTTGTCTACTTTTTCTCTTATCTCTTCGATGCAGGCCTGTTGGCGGTTCTGTACGGTGAAGTTACTCGTGCATCCAGCAATCTCGAACAGGAAGGTACGCAGCATCTCGATGCCTCTCTGCGTCAAGTCGACTTCAGGGTGAAACTGTGTCCCATACAGCTTCTTCTGTTCATTAGCAATGCCTGGTGGGGAAACAGATATATTTGACATAGACATATTATCCTCTCTGAAGGCCACTTTTTAAAACAATACATTCAAGCAAAACCAATAAGCCAAAATCAGGATTTCAAAACATACTCAAAATACAGACTCAACATTCTTGTCAGATGTAAATATATACAGTGTGAGGCTGTTTTTTCAGGACTTGCAAGTAAGTTTATGACCCCAATCCAATTTCTGATAGCATTCATCAGGGTCACAGTCTATTCAGCGTGCTGCTCACCAGCAATGATGTTCCCTGATTGGGCCACCACTTTAAAGCCATCAGCCACTTTATCCACACTGTCTCCGTGGGTCAGCAGGACCAGTTCCTCTTTCTGAAGGCCTCTGATAAGATAAACACACACTGAGACGTCAGAGGAAGATGTCTGGTGTTCAATATCATCTCATAACAGCTATACAGTACGGACCCTGCTTTCACTGTGTGAATGTGAGTTAAGTGTGAGAGGCAGACAGTAATATAAAAACTGCAGCCATCTATTTTAGACTCTGCAGTATTTGTGTTACAACCAAGGGAAGTATGTGACAGCTGGAATGCTCCTGCAGTTTATGTAGTAAAAATGGCACTGGGACAAGCCCTTAAAGCAGCAGTTGTGTTTAACACATAGTCCACAACACTTGAGAGAAGAGATGGTGCTGTTAGTTCACTGACAGATCTAGAAGCGATTTTGTGAATCTTCATTTTTAGGGTCGAGTGACGATAACATTGGCTATCTTCAATCAGCTAAATCCATGCCAGATGGACTTTTGTTGCTGAGTGAAATCACCAAAATGAGTGTCTGCTGCCTAATCAATGGTGCAACAATACTGAGCTTCAGTTACTGATAGTAAATACCTTCAAAATGTCTTGCCAGCACATCTCTGTTTTTACAGTACAGTATGAACACACATACATAAACATAACACATAAAATAAACCAGTTATTACCTGAAGAGAGAACAAGTGTTGTCCAGTCCAACACTGAACACTCCATCTTCCCTCACACTCTTTTTGTGTACTGTGCCGCCAAACACTTTATTCATCATCTGTAGCACAAACACACAGCAGAGTTAACATCTGGACACAAAGAATACATTTTAGTGATTCCAAAGATACCACTGCTGCCTGCTGTTTGAAGAAATGTGACAGAGAATGGATGGCTGCTGGTTTTAATTTCCAGGCTAGCTGGGAAAATTGAGCAAGTAATGCTCTTATCTCCCTCAGCTAGTGTCAACGTGCCCTTGACGAAGGTGGTGAAGTCCCAACTGGCCCAGGAGAGCTGAACAGCAGCCTGGAGAAGAGTGATAGTAAAGTGTAGCTCCTCCAAGTGAATAGCATGAACAAGGGCCTTATGAAAGAAGGATGGTCTACCTAATCACTATAAAAGCCTCCCGCAGCAGAATTTTGCTGTGTGTATGCATGCGTGTGCATAGATACTAGGGCTGGGCGGTATAATTAGGTATACCGATATAATTTCAAAAGAGATATAAAATTACACAATACTGTTTATACCAGTATAGTTTGATGTTGAGTTAATTAATGTTTCCGTAAAGTCCTGCCAGCATTTGCTCCTTTCGGCCCCTCACCGCGCAGCCCTGCCCTCCCTCTGCACGCAGCCGTCTACTCACAAAGTCTCTAACAACATGGAGGGAGACACATGGCTGAAGATCTGGCTTGTAAAAAGAAAAACAATGGTTCAGTCAGTGTTTCCCACGCACAGACTTTACTTTGCAGGGCGCCCAGGTATATTTGGCGACACATTGTATTGTAGCGCTTATCAGAGAAACACAGAGTGGTATGTTACAAATCGCGCCACAGATATTTGGATATTTTACAAGAGCGGGCCAGGTTAAGCAACAGTGAACACACAGGCGCAGATGTCATTTATTAGCTACCACGTTGATTTTGTTGTGGTAGGCTACATCGTCAACACACCTCCTCAACAAGCACCACAGCTGCTGCTGTGAACGGAATCACAGAAGCAACTTTACACAACGTAGCTTACAACTGATCACCGGAGCAGATATACAGAGAGAGGGAGACAGAAAGAAGGGTGGCACGCTGATGTGTTAGCAGCAGAGGTACGTTAGATCTGTGAGTGTGAAGAGAACTGAAGGAGGCAGATTCAATAAGTGAGTGACACTTAAGATAGAGAATGAAGTATAATTAAAATGGTGCAATAAGAAACCACCTCAGTTATTACTTAAACATGCGCCCCCCCCCCATACAGCCCAGCCCAGCAGAAAATAACGATATATACTTTATACTGGAATTCTGCCTAACAGTACCGGGAAATAACTTTTTGGTCCATATCGCCCAGCCCTAATACATACCTGCATCCCATAGCAAATCCCAAGGACAGGCTTTCCTATAGTGAATATAGCAGGGTCAAACCAGGGGGCATCTTCTGCATACACAGAGGCTGGACCTCCTGAAATGATGATTGCCCTAAGATGGAAAGAGAGAGAATACAATCAAGCCAACATGTATATTTAAGCACTTTCACCTTGACAGAATAGTGTAAAAATGCTATGAGGCAAGAGAGAACATTCATCTCTGGTTCATATGCTTTCATGCTCACCTGTAGCCCTGTTCTCTGAGAGCAAAGGCCGGGGTCTCTAGAGGGAGGATTTCAGAGCGTACACACAGCTCTCGCACCCGTCTGTCAATCACCTTGCCATACTGGGCTCCAGCATCCAGGATCGCCACTGCCCCCTCACATGACCCATTCTGCTCTGCACTGTTGATCTCCAGCTGTGGACACACACAATTAGAAAAACACACATTGTGTTGTTTAAAGTGCCAGCAGAGCTTGTGTTGAGCTGAGCAAGCAGAAAAGCATACACTCAGAGTTGCTTTTGCACACTAGTGTTTACTAAGTGACTGGACTTTGATTAGCACACTAAAGATATAGTCTTAATGCTGTCCTTAGGGTCAGGTTTGTTGGTGGTTAGGGTGAGAGGTGGCACAAGGTAACACAATCCATCAGTGACCTCCCTGTGGAAAATGGGACTAACATAGTAAGTAAGGCCTAACATAATTAGGGGCATGTGAGCTCCAACCCAGACAGACAGTCACTGTTGTGAAACGTGCTGTATCCATTCAGCCAATCAGTAGAATCACATGAAACCCACAAGTTAGTCAAAGGCCATAATACGGACCCTTATATCACTTTTCAAGATGTTTATAGGGTGTTTCTTTGGGACAACTCTGTATGTCTGCGTGTTATTTTAATAAACACATGAGATCAAAGTTGGGAAACAAGTGCCAGCACAATAACAATGGAGAAGTCGGTTCACTGAGATCTAATTAACCTCCATATACAATACAACTGGGCAGATTGATGACGGCAAGAAGAGAAACGTGATCCCACGTGATTAGTAGAAACCCTACCGCTGTAGATGTTTCTAAAAACAACTTGCACTAAGCATGCTAACCTCCGATGTATTATCTAGAAAAGTACACTTAACGCTGTTATATCCCTTCAGCCCTCACAGCAACGTTAGCCGTACAATCACGAGAAAAATACTCGACAGTGTTACAGGAAACTTTACCAAATTTGCCGGTAACACGGCAGTAGTGGCTCCAGTTGTCAGACCGGTGACCGCAAGTTTGCTCATACTAGCTTAGTGACGACGTTAGCATACCTGTCAGTTAACGTTACGTTAGCCTCAAGTCTGTGACAGCAGTCGTATGAAATACATTAGTTTGCCACAAGCTCTCTCCAAAATTAACGCCAAAGCAGCATGATACCAGACTATCGGTTAGAAATGCTATTCTACAAATCCAGGCTGCCCGGCTAAAGCTAGCTAACACATTATCTCTGTAGCATGCTAGCTCGCAGACAGTATTTAGTTGCTAGTTCTCACCATTAGCCTGTTAGCAGCACGTACTGTGAGAGGCTAACTTAGCGGAGCTATGCTAAACCCACGCGGTGCTTGGAGGCAAACGGTGTTAGGGGGGTAACGACCATAAGAAGGCATCCACGTTTAGTGGCTCAATATTTTATTTATGCTAAACATTATGGAAATGTCCTGTCCGACTAGTTAGCAGCTATGAGCAACATGTTAATGTAACCCTGCAACAGGCACACAACAGCGTAACGTTACTCATCGCTCCTGAGCGGAACTGGTGGTAACGTTACATGCTCTCTAACTTTCCCCCCCCGAGGTACACACAGGCCGTAATTAACCGGGAGGGACTACACCAGCAACCACGGTCCTAACACGAAGTCGACCGGGCAACCCGGTACCGGAGGAGCGGTCCTGCCGGCTCCACTGACCTTGATGTATCCGTTGCACAGAGCCATGGAGGACTGCCGTGTTGAGGAATGAGCTCTCTCTTTCGCCTTGGTGTCCCAGGTCTCAGAGAGAGAGAGAGAGAGAGAGAGAGAGAGAGAGACAGAGCTACTCGTTAGCTCCTGGCTCGGCACGCCGACTACTGTTACAAAAGCAGATTGGGTTGTTGGCTGGAAGATGGGCTGTCAATCTCTCCTCATCCGGTCGGGGAATAACTTTCAGACTAAGGAGCAGACTAAATAAATGTGTCTGTGCTCCATGGGTGGAGCACAAAGTTCAATCCAGAAAAAGAGAGTGGCCCCATGGGGGCTGGGCTTAGACAGCATGGTAGACTTTGGCTGATCATGTTAAAATATATTGGTGCTTAATCTTTACATATATACATATGAGATATGGGATCTCAAATAGTTAGGGGTGTCCAAAGTATTATATATTTTAAATGCTTGAATAATATAGGAACTTGTGCTGATCCCCCCTTTCAGTGACCACAACAAATCAAGTTCAAACTCTGTATTTCTCATATGCACAACATTTACAGAAAAGCAGTCCTTGCCAATGACATTCTTGTTCTCACGGTCAAAATGTGTGAAAGAAAATCACACAAGTTGAAAGAGTAATGAGAAAAAGAGAATCAAATACAAAGACATAAAAAGTACATTTGTTAAAATAGAGGAATACAATATAATAGATACAATACTGTGGTAGACGGGTGTATATTAGTGATGAAATTAATACACTTATGCAGACAGGTTGTGCTGTAGTAAAAGTATATGCTTAATGAGGACTGGTTATGGACAGGTACACAGGTAAATCTGAAGGCAGACAGAATTGTGGGTTATGACAGGGGCACAGGATGATATGGATAGACATCTTGTATCACTCTAATTACATTTTTATTGCAGTATTGTGTCAACATTTATGATAATATACAACATTTTCTGACAAATTAATCAGTACTGAATCATATAAATGCAATATTAGCTCAATACAGCCTTGCTCTTTTAGGTGGTATTAAAGGGATAACTCTCTCTTACAGTTGACACATTTTTTATAGTCTCACAGAACCACCCAGCGCCTGTTAGTCCTGTTAATATACAATCTACAGAGCCTCATACCTCAGACTCTGTCAGGCAGTAGCAGCAGGTATGTGAGAGGTACCCCCTGTTCTTTAGCACATCTACTCTACCGTAAGTTCCAGGACTTTTCCTTATTCTATGTCTTTTTCAGACAACATCAATAACATAAGTTAGCTTCAGGCTCACATATCCATGTGTGGCTTTTGTGATTGCCTTTGACATATATTTCTTGCACAATTTCTTTATTTTGCTAATAATAATGTAGTTTCAGTGTGCACATTTTTTCTACATGAAGATTATTACATGCTGTCAGACATCTCCAGCCTGGAAAGTTAAAGAGGAATGTCACAGCAAAGACACAAGTTAGTCAAACAGACAGATGTCACATTCCACTTTGTACAGAGCAAGTTTGTAGTTCTTAGCTACCTTTAACTAGTAAGTGTTTTCTCCAGGTATAAGAGACAACATACCAAGCTGTCTTAAAGAAATTACTTTTCAAAAGTGGTAAGGCAATAGTTTTCAACCTGGGGGAAATGTGTCATGAAACACTGATGTGTAACTTATAACCTTAATAATTGTTGCATAGCATTGCAATAACTGCTGGAACAGAGCCATTATTAATGTTATTAGTTCCACCTTTGCATTACACTGTGAATATGATTCTCATTCAGAAACAAGACTGCCCTGGTGCTTGCAAGGCTATCAAGATTTGAAGAATCATTTGCAACATTTCAAAGAGGTTGGGGCTTGCCAGAAAATGTTTGGGAACCGTACTGCTTTTGGAAATGACAAAATGATTCTGAGGAGTTGTTCATTTGATTCACAGGTTAAATGGAAACGTTAATTAAACACTCCTGTGATGGGATGTTAAAACATTTTCAGGCGCACAACCAGAGGTGGAGAACCAGTCAGATGTGATGATGTCAGCGCCACCCTGTGGAAAACTTAATGAATAACACTTTACACCACACAATTATTAACATGGTCATGTAAGATACTAATTTCTGATGGTAGGTGTCTGTGAAAACCAGTCAAACTTTAACCATCATTCTAAACCAGTGCACAAATAATATTAACTTAACCATAGCAACAGTACTCTTTAGTCAACTCTCACAGGTGAAACAGACTTCACCTTGAGCATGGCTGGATTAATCCACACGGGACTGCAACGACCTGTGGGCCCTTGTCATCCCTCTGGTTATTTATTTAGGAATATGCACCATGTTTATTTTGACACAGAGCACCTTTAGAAGACAGGTAGACAAGGCAAGTGATAATGCAGGCCCACATAATAAGAGTTGATATTGTGCTTTTATTGGTGCATGTTCACAAACAAATTTTCAGTTAATGAGACTACCACAAACCAGTTGAGACATAATAAATATGGGGCCTTTAGGGGCCCTAGGCAGATGACCAGTTTTGTTAGTAATTCAGCCTTGAAAATAAGTTAAACAAACATGAATGATTGGAGCAAAGCTTTTCGTTTAATATTGATATTTGAACTATTTGTGATAGTTTGACAAACCCTCTCACGTAGTTACAACTGCAGCTTCACAGCTGTTATCACATGCTGATCCACCCAAATATGCCTGTGTGGTGTCACATGTCATCTGTGGGGATAAGCAGCTTCACATGCACTCATGGTAACCACAAGGCAGAGCGTGACGTTATTCATTACCTCTAATTCGAATGGGGTGTGATAGGTGCATCATAACCTTTACTGTGCCCAAAGATCTTTTGATCAAAGAAAAGGTTTCAGTATGGTTTCTGTTTAAGACTTTCTTCTTAATTTTGTTTTTAATGTATTTTGTGTTTACACTCTAATTTGGATCCTCAGAGTTACAAACTAACACCTGAAAGTTACAAGTCTCCCTTTAGTGTCTCACTGCTATGAATCAATAATAACATATGCTGATTATTTTGTATTTATTAACAGGATGGTCACTTACCACCATGGATCAAGAACAAGCTTGAGGTCACATTCACATATCCTTACTAGACAACACAGAGAAATGCGAAAGCGTACTTCAAACAATGACAGAAGTCAAACTGTAACTGTCATCTTTAGCTGGCAGTCTCAGATATCTGATGTCATTCTGTGACTTCTTTTGATTAATTTAGACAGCAAAACTGTAAAACTGCTCATTATGAAAACATCAAAGGCATGATCACAGTGATAGACTTAAAATAATAATGAATCTATAAATTAATCAATCTTTATTTATATAAAAAAATCCTACTTATGTGATATGGGCTTTACAATTAATAAAATAATAAAATGTATTGTTCAGATATCTGAGGATTTGCTTGTTGTTTTAAATGTTCTTTCTTAGTTTTACTTCATGTAAATGTAACATAATACACCGACACAAAGCATCTTTTGAATTTCAGGACACTGTTAATTCATTATCCTGAGGGGGGCTTGAATGTGTAAAAAGTTCATGGCAATCCACCCCACAGTTGTTGAGACATTTCACTCAAAAGCACGAATGTCAACCTCATGACGACGCTAGAGGGAAAGTCAATGGATCACCTATAAGTCATAAGAATTTACCATGTTGGAACCATGAATGTCTGGCAATCAATCAGAAAATAGTTGTTGTTAGAATATTTCAGTCTGGACCAAAGTGGTGGACAGAATGATCAACCATCAGACCGACAGAGTCATTCCTATAATTACATATTGTGTAGTAACAATTATTGCTGGTTAATTGGGTGTTTTGTGGAAATTATGTCATTGCTGGTGTGATATTTCCAACCTCTGAGGAAACAGCCCCTAAGTTAATAATGTGTGTGTCACGCCCGTGCGTGTGTGCGCGCACGCAGGTGAGGACCAAATCTCAACAGCCCACTGTTGCTGGGAGGACATTCGAGTTATGAAAACAAACCACCTTTTCAGTGATGGCCCCGAGACTGTGGGATAAACTATCTGTGAGTCTGTTTAGGGACACTTGTGTTTGTCTGTATTGTTTTTCTACTTTTTTGTTGTATGTCATAAATTCATTGGCCTGTTTTCATTTAGGCCTATCTGTTGTTATTTATTTTTAATTGTATAACTTTGTTTGGTACTTTGGTCAACTTTGATTGTTTTTAAATGTGCTTTATAAATAACAGTGACTTGACTTGATGAGGACAGTCTCAGAAAGTGATTACAGGCTCGAATTTTATGATTTGGGCTTAAAAGTACACTTAATTGAAAATCTTTCTTTTTAATTGTATAACTTTGTTTGGTACTTTGGTCAACTTTGATTGTTTTTAAATGTGCTTTATAAATAACAGTGACTTGACTTGATGAGGACAGTCTCAGAAAGTGATTACAGGCTCGAATTTCATGATTTGGGCTTAAAAGTACACTTAATTGAAAATCTTTTCTTCTGGTATTACATTGTTATTCCAACAGCACTTTGTGTTTAGATTTTTGTTGAGCCTGTCTAACATTCATTACAAAATAATTGTAGGTTATTTGTCCCGTATGATATATTTTCACTGAAGCGGAACTACACGCAGTTGTGTTTTGACACGTCAGCTGTAGGAGCCGGACACATTTAGACGTCGCACGCGCCGCGCTTCCTCGTCCTTCTGTGTTTTTGATGTTCACTGCTGTAATCAGTTTTAACTCAAACGGTAGTCATTTTCTTATTTTTATTAAGATGGCGCCAGTTAGAGATTGAATAAACACAGAATAAAATCGGGTTTCCGGTTGAATGGCTCCGTAATTCAGCCGTTTAGTTCTGTTTTGTTAATTTGGCATGCTGTCATCATCACCAGGTATGTATGAATCATATTACTGCTTGTCTTTTACTTTACTTTTTCACCACATACATGCCCTTTGTATGTCTTTATATTTGCCCTTATTATTCTACTGGAATATACATATATTGTATCGTTTTGTATATGTAAATTAAATGAATCTCCTTATATTTTTAGGCTAACATAATAACTGGTAAATTAATGTGGACAGCTACACATTAATTGATTTATCTGCTCTATAATAAGCCTTAATTGCTTTCTGCCAGAGACTGATGGTGTCAGCGAGCCAAACAGTGTGCACACATTGTATTAGTTTATGACTTTTTTTCACACAGTGGTCGGTCAGTTTGTCTTTTTTTGCTTGTACTTTACCATACGGTATATAAACTACAAGACATTTTAAATTCAACATTCAATTTTCCGTGGGACCC